CAAACAACTGCTTCTGAAAATCACAGCTGCAACCAAGTTGTTTTGTTCACTCTGGTGTCATTTCATTTTAAGAAAACTTCACTTTTATTAGTGCATCCCAGCCAACTCTCACTTCAGGAGCAAATTACTTGCCTGCAGATATGAAACTTTGCAACTACATATTATTGGTATTCACCAAGCAGGAGGTTGATGTGGAAAAAATTATATAAGAGAGTTAAATGAGATCACATCAGTTTAAGATTAAAAGTAAATATAGATTACTGTCATAAATTTTTATTTTTGGATAATTGAAGCTGAGGAAAAAAATGTTCTACCTGTCTCATGTTTCACACTTCTTTTTCTTTTTAGATAATAAATGATCACACAAGTTGGTTAGAATTGGATGATTTAAAGTTTGCTATGTTGTGCAAAACCAAACTCTGAACATTTGACAAGGAAATACTTGTGTGTAACATTTTTTTGTGTGATATCAAAGAGTTACGGATGCAGGTCACTTCTTAGAGTATGAAATTACACAGTTGTATGACACTAATCCTGGTATCCACAACAATTGTTCTTTACTGTCTCACAGAAATTTTGTACAACTTTTGCTCATAAGTTTACTGAGTTTGTGATGTTGCTAAATGAATTGAAAATTGTAAAGTGTCTTTCAGAAGTAAAATAATGCATAAATGAGTTTTTTTTTAATTCATATACTGTAAATTGTATTTTCCTAAATCACAAAAATCTTGTGCTCACAGAACAATGCTGGGGAAAGAAAACTGAGAGTAACCCTTTTGAGTGCTGAATGGAAAACTTCAAGCAATGGAGACTTGACAACCATCAACCGAGAGCTAGCAATACAGATGGCTAAACATCCCAATGTGGAAGTCAGTGTTTTCTTACCTCAGTGTAGTGAAGAGGACAAGAAAGATGCTGATAGTTACAATGTTAAACTCATTAAAGCAGTTAAACTGAAGGGTTTTGAACCAGTTGATTGGCTAACCTCTGTACCTAAAGGCCATGCTATGGATTGTGTTATAGGGCATGGAGTAGCTCTTGGTCGGCAAATTCAACTCATAAAGACAAATCAAAATTGCAAATGGATTCAAGTTGTCCATACTGCCCCTGAAGAAATTGGCATGTACAAAAGCATTTCTGAAGGTCAACAAAAGCAGCAAACAGAAATAGAATTATGTCAAATGGCGGATCAAGTTGTAACAATTGGCCCCAAGCTAACTGATGCATATAAGCACCAACTCAGAAAACAAGATGTTTTTAACCTGACGCCAAGCGTTTTCACAGAATTTTCAGATGTGCAGCAAGCAAGTGATAAAGGAAGAAGATTTTGTGTCTTGGTAATTGAGAGTGGTGATAGTGAAGATTTTGATGTTAAGGGGTACGATACTGCAGCGAAAGCTATTGCTGAGCTAAAGGATAAATCTTATCAACTCAAGTTTGCTTCCAAACAGAAAGGAAAAGAAGATGAATTAAAACACAAGTTACTTCAGTGTGGTATTGGTCGTAATCAGCTAAGTATCTGCAGTTTAGATGAAGACAGGGAAACATTAGCAAACTTATTCTCTGTGGTGGATATTGCCATACTGCCCTCAAAAACAGAGGGATTTGGGTTGAGTGCTCTTCAGGCCATATCTGCTGGTCTTCCAGTACTTGTCAGTGGTAACTCAGGAATTGCAGAAGCCTTAAAGGAGGTGTCTATTGGGTCACAGTGTATAGTGGATTCAGAGGATCCTGCAGACTGGGCCAGTGCAATAAAAGCTGTGTATGACAAAAAAAGGAATGTACGACTTGAAGAGGCTAAGAGTCTTCGTGAAAACTATTTGCAGAAGTTCAGCTGGGAGGAACCTTGCAATTTCCTTGTCAAAAAGATGTACAATCTTGCATTTGGTAAGTTTTCTCATATTGCATCATGAAAGCAGAAAATTTGAAATAATGACAAAGCTCACATGTTCTGCGTTAAATATTCAATTTACCAGTTAGCAGTTGTTTCTAAATGCTATAGGGACAGTAGTCTTATGGAATATGACAAATTTACATGTAAGAAAACTGGTAATCCAAGTCTATAAGTTGGTGGTAATGGCCATACAATACAGTAACTGTTCTTAATAATAGTGGTGGCCAAAAGTTGTAGTTTGTGACGAGTTGGTATGAGACTACTCCATTTAGATGTATTCTAATCTTTACTTCAGGAAACAAGCAAACTTGGAATTCAGAACATGAGAATAAAGGGGCATGTTCATCCAGTGGTAAGAGCCATAGAGAATTAGCACTGACTGATCATGTTCATCAGTATGATGATGTCTTTGCAAATTTTGTGGAAAATCAATGTTCATACTTGATATTTTATTATTACCTATAATGTAGCACTCAGTTGTCCATAATCAATGTGACGTCACCAAACCTTTATCAAATTAATTTTCCAAAAATCCAAAATCATCCGGCTTCATATGCTTTTCTCCAGATCCTGGGTTCATTTCATTGCAGCTCTAAAATTAAGTTA